TGAGATATTGCTTATATCCATGCTTCATCAATGGAGTCATCCACGAGAAAGTAAGACGAGAGAATACAGTTGCATATTCCACTGGACATTCCTCTCCTTCTTCATCTATCAATGCCTCGTACGTGCTTGTATTCTTGGGCCAGAGCCATTCGATTGCGAATTCAACAGCAGAGAGACCAAAACCGACAGTATATGCAACGAAGTATGGAAGGTTGTTGTCGTATAACTGCTGAGAAATCAAGGATCTTAACTTTACAGCATACGCGATTAGGAGGAATAACCAATAGAACAGAGCTACGCCGTTAGCATTCCTCATGCGATCGTGTTCGAGCCACTGAATTGCGAAAATGACGCCGAGCGAGACGATGGTAGCGATCGTCGTAAGAACGCGAAAATCGCCATGCCATATTCCCGGGAAGTTGATGATCTGGATGGCGAGCTGGACGACGGCATCGGCGATAATGAGAACTAGGAGTGACTACAGAAAATAATTAGTAAATATACAACGCCCTTCTTCCAGAGGGCAGAGGGCTATTAGCTTCAGGAGAAGTTTAAGTTTTAAACCTACCTGTTTTAACCAGAAATGCCAATCCTTAGAAACCTCAGCAGGCTTTCTTTTCTTTAAAACATACCACACCGCTAAAGCTCCGCCGAGGATACCGAAGACAGCAACAGCAAACACCCATATATCGATGAAGCAAGGCGTAAAATCGTAACGAAAGGGGCTTAGAGGACCCCATCCCTCTTCATTACCGCATAATGGCTGTTTGAAATCTTTTGTCGCGCTGAGATAACCCTTTCCGAGTTCGTGGATAGGCCGGTAGCCCGTGAAGGACCCGGTCAATTGGAGGACCTGTTGAGACTGGTCACCGAACCGCATTACCGCGTTAAGTTGAAGTTCGGATGACAAAGATCATAGTATAGATGAATAAGTAGGTAGTAACCCCAATTGCGCAATAAGGTGTGGTTTTGACGGAAGTTAAAAAGACTGCGAATGGATTAGATGGGATGGATTAGTTAAATGGATTACTAAGCACCAAAAGTCGTAAGTGGTGATGTCGGTTTAGAAATGTCGGTTTAGAAAACTTAGTGCAGGGGAATGACGGCCTTTCAACCGGAGTTTAGTTTGGAAGCTTCTACGTCGTCATGTACAAAATAGTAAGCTAGGCAGTTGCCTACTAACCAGGCATCTGGGTGCATGATTAGGTACATCAAGTTAGGCTAGGTACTATCGTATTGATGTTGTCTTTTCCGACCCGAGCCAAGACCGGGGTTCTAGAACTTATTATGCACGTCTACTACCAATCGTAATTAAAACTGACTATATACAGAGAAACCCATCTCTTTCACTTAGCACAATGTAATAATGTTAACATCACAAGAAGAAAGAATAATGTATACCTATACACTTAATTAGTACATTAAGATATTTTATGAGCTTACAAGCATAGAAGTTATCTAATATCCCAAGCAATTGCTTCTATGTACCTCTTAGCTTCAAAGTACTAAGCAGTGGAGCACTTTATTCGATAGTCAAATTCGGATGTATGTATGTAGAGCCTCATGCATAGCGGATAAGGGTGCCAAGACGGAGTTAAGCCCCGCAATCCTTAGCCGACTGTCGGCGCTTTGTTCCAATGCATTAGCTGTCTAGATACCTACACGCTGTACCGCGATGCGAGCTTCCGCCTGCGATAAGCACGATAAGCACGATAGTGCCCATACTACGTAAGTACATGCATACTACCTCAGGATAAGTCCTTAATCTTGACTTTAAACACATTCAGTCTCCTCCAACACTTTAGCTACCTCATATTACACCAGATAATATAACGACAGGTCAAAGTTGTAAGATAAATTCACCACCTGTTGTTATTGAAGATCAATAATAATACCCACCTGTTCTTCCGATCCAGGCCTGCGTGACTATTCAGGTAGTTGCAGGGCCTCCCCAGGTCCATGCATTCACCAGGAAGCTCGCCACGCGACGGATCGTCCTCTTCATTCGCGACCCCGTTGAAACGCAAGCCAGCCGGTGCCACTGGCACTCATTCTCGACAACAATCCGAAAGTCGACCCGATCAGAAGCGTACCAAACTAAACAGTACATCTGACTCAGTTGTTCCGAGAATGAGCAAGGTGGCGGGCAAATGGCCCGAAATCGTCGATCTGACGAAGCCTCCTACTGCTTTCCAACCCCATAAGGGCGCAAAGAAGCTTGCTATCAAGAATCTACGAACGACCTCACGAACTAATGACCTTGAGAAATATTACGATGCCACGAGAAAAGAGTTACTTGAAGCCCTTCAAGCCATATTTGAACAGAAACAACCCCGCCAACCACTCGAAAGACTTTACCGAGGGGTAGAAGATCTATGTAGACATGGAGCATCTAGAGAACTGTATGAGACGCTACGGGAAAAATGCGAAACCTACTTGAAGAACGATCTTCAGAGATCTATAGTGGCGGAAGCTGGTTCCTCTAACGTTGAAGTGTTGAAAAGCACCTACAAACATTGGGTCATATGGAACGCTCAATCGGTAGGTACTACTATATCATCGTGAAAGTCCTTGAAAAACTAATATGTAATATGTATATCTAGACCACAATTCGTTCCGTATTCAGCTACCTCGATCGGTCATTTTTATTAAGCAGCAAGGAGTTCCAACAAATTAACGATATGGCCATAACGCTATTTAGGAGAACGGTATTTGTTGCTTCGCAGCCGCTAAGTCCCAGCCCAGGTGCTAAGACGCTCGCTGGGATGTGTGATCTGGTAGACTATGATCGGAGAGCCGATGCTCGGTTTGATCCAGCTCTGCTACGAGATTCTATTTCGATGCTCCATATCCTGAACATCTATGGGAAGTCATTCGAGCGACGCTTCCTAGATGCTTCCAAGAAATATTTCGAGGAATTCGCCAATGAACAAAGCAGCGCATCCCTCAAGGCTTATATTTCTAGCTGTGAGAAGCTCATTGCGCGTGAAGATTACCGTTGCAATGCATACAATTTTGACAGCACTACGAAAAGGCAATTAATGGATGATGCTCATACAATTCTAATCGATAGCTATTCCGAAAAACTTCTTGACGGTGGCAGCATTAGCAAGCTCCTAGATGAGAATGCTCTGGATTCTATGAAGGCTCTATATGACCTCTTGCGATTATCCGGCATACAGAAGAGGCTAAAACAGCCATGGGAAGAATACATAAGGGAAGCAGGCGCAACGATCGTTAACGACACTTCTAGGGGCGACGAAATGGTCGTCCGATTACTCGAGTTCAGACGATCTTTAGACCTGATGATTCGAGACGCTTTTAATAGAGACGACGAATTTACTTATAGTATGCGACAGGCATTTGGTAGCTTCATCAACGATCGGAAAGTTCTGTCTGCCTGGAAGACTGGGACTTCCAAGGTTGGTGAGATGATTGCAAAGTATATTGACATGTTGCTCAGGGGTGGGTTGAAAACTCTACCAAAATCACTGCTCTCTGATGCCCAAGACCGTGTCGATGCCGAGCAAAGCGGACTGGCGAGTACCGGTGACGAGGATGCCGAATTGGACAGGCAGTTAGACCACGCCCTAGAGTTGTTCCGATTTATTGAAGGCAAAGACGTCTTCGAGGCGTTTTATAAACAAGACTTGGCACGACGCCTCCTGATGGGCCGCAGCGCCAGTGCAGATGCGGAGAGAAGCATGCTTGCAAAGTTGAAGAACGAGTGTGGTTCCAACTTCACCCACAACTTGGAGCAAATGTTCAAAGATCAGCAGATCGCACGCGACGAGATGACTTCGTATAAATCTTGGTGCGAGGGAACCGGACACGGCAAGAGCAGCTTAGATCTTAACGTGAGTATCCTGTCTGCCGCAGCATGGCCAACATATCCAGATACTCAGCTTATTCTGCCTGATGATGTCGCGGTACAAATCGAGCGCTTTGAAGCATACTATACCAACAAACACACAGGAAGGCGTCTTACGTGGAAACATTCGCTTGGTCACTGTGTTGTTAAGGCACGTTTCGGGAAAGGGTCAAAGGAATTACTAGTCAGCGCGTATCAAGCTGTCGTGTTGACGCTATTTAACCAAATCGAGGATAAGCCGGATGGACTCCTGACTTACCAGCAGATTGCAGAGAATACTGGCCTGAGTGGGCCAGATCTCGATCGTACCTTGCAGTCTTTAGCGTGCGGGAAAACCCGCGTTCTTACGAAGCATCCAAAAGGGCGAGATGTAAACCCGACGGATACTTTCACCGTCAACAAGGCTTTCTCCGACCCCAAATACCGTGTAAAGATTAACCAGATTCAACTCAAGGAGACGAAAGAGGAGAACCAAGAGACTCACGAGCGGGTTGCCCAAGATAGACAGTTCGAGTGTCAGGCCGCGATTGTAAGAATCATGAAGAGCCGCAAGACCATGACCCACGCCAACCTCGTCGCGGAGGTAATCAACCAGACCAAGAGCCGAGGCGCTATTGAGCCGGCCGAGATTAAGAAGAACATCGAAAAGTAAGTTGTCCGATATGAGCGTGCATATTGCTGGATTTTACACTAACATCCCACCAGACTGATCGAGAAAGATTACCTTGAACGAGAAGGAGGCGCATATACGTATTTGGCATAGATACTACCATCCGGACACTAATTTGATTCGGTGGTTGGCTACTATACTTGGGTCCTATCGTAGTGTGCGTTCAGAACAATCGGCCGGCTTTGTTGATTACCTATGGAGCTTGTTCGGTGGCATTAGGCAACTGATGAACATCGACTTGATATGCTATATCCTGTGAAAATTAGTGTATACATGTGTTGGTCTTGATAATGGCTGTTGCTACTTGCTCGTTTTGTAGGCCTGCTTGTTATGTAGATATTCAACTCTGATTCCTCGGCCCTAAGTTTAGGGGCGTAAACGGTGAGATCACGTATAGTCTTCAAACTCGGATTGATCGTGCTCCAAGTCATAACGTCAATTAGGACACCTTACTGAATTGCGTACGAGCATAAAGTCTCAGGTCCTGGGCTAAGTATCTACTTGACTATAGATTCCAATATAGACTTAGGTCCCTACGAGTGTAGGTGCGGAGCATAAGTAAAGAATAGCCGTGTGTCCTTTATGTTGCGGCGTATAAGTTCCTCCTACCAGCTATCAAAATTTTGTATAATGTACAGTTCGCCCACCCTATATAGGTACCTAATCCAACCCATCCAGTGGGCCATTCAACTTACGGCTCTACGGGCAACACCTTATCGTAGTAACCCGTAGCCCACACCACCAAACGTCCCGACTTCCTATCATCATCCGTGAAGAGCCCATTCCACGAATCCCACACTCGCTTCAGCTCGACTTTGTGTCGGCGACCGGGACCCGAGAAGTCGAAGTATTCGTGCAGCGCAGAACCGATGCCCTCGTACCCGACAATATATCTCGCCATGTCCTCGCCGGGACCATCCGCCGGCCACAGTTCCTCCAGGAAGCCAACCTTGTCCGCGTAGAAGCGACGCGTCTCGTCCTTGTATATCTGGCGCTGTGGGGACTTTGGCGAGGTATGCAAAGGCGGCTCGCAGGTTAGAGCACGCGCGCGCAGAGCCGGGTAGACAAGGTGAGAACGCCACGGCGTGGCGTGGCAAGGAGTCAGGAAAAGCGCGAAGAGCTCTTGCGAGAAGTCATCGTCCACAGTTACGTTCGCTGGTTGCGGAATTTCAAGGTGCTTGGGGTGAATGTGTTCGAATTCGTTACGCAAATAGTCCACCACCTTGATAGGTGCGGCAGCATGGAAATAGGAGAGGTAGCCGCCAATGATAATATTGATAAGTAGACCTCCTAGAAGTAAAGGTGTCCGCTTCCACCCCAGCGTTGGCGTTGAGCTAGCAGAGGCAGCATTTGTTAACGTGGTGAAAAAGGACGCAATATGGGGTGCAGCCAAGATATGGAAGGCCGGAAGGAGAGGCGTGATAAAGCGAACTTCCTTATGGGACACAAACGACAAGGCGGATATGTTTGTGAAGACCACGAAGGATAGTGCTTTCAAAGCGTTAGATGTTGTAACTGGCCAGTTTGAGCTCTCTGAGTCTAGAGATTTGTATAGGCCTTGTAGGATGAACGGGGTTATCGTAGTACCTAACAACGGTATACCCTGGGAGAGATAGTAATGCCAATCATTCTGCCCATAGAAGCTAGCGAGGTCTTGCGCAACATTGAAGTGCAAGAATGTTAAGGGGGGGAATGTCCATTCTCCATAGTATAGACGGTCAGCTACTAAAGACAATCCGAGAACGAAGGACCTATAAAGGTTAGATATCACAAGAAAATATACGATACGGTGTCGTTTACGCACCCGCAAAGGACTACCTCCCTATAAATGATAAGGATGTTTCTTAGAGTAAGTGGTGATTTTCCACCGAGTGTAGCTCTGGTCAGTGCGAGGGTGCCAATAGCCACCCATATTAAAACATTGGTTGGCCGCAAGAGAACAGCGAATGCGGCTAGTATCAGGGACAATCGGAGACTACGTGGTCGCGGTTTAGTATAAAAGACTTATTTCTCAGAACTGTTAACTTACTTGTTAATTTGACCCCAGGTCTCGAAGAGTGGAATTGATGAATACTTGGATTCGGCATTTCCGTCATCTTCCGTACCTAGAAGCTGCCAGGGCCAATAATAGAGAGCGGCAGCCGTCAAGGTTGTCTCGAAGCAGTTCGAGAACGTCCTCGTCGATGTATACCATTGCCAGGGATTGGCCAATGCCATCAACAGCTACGTATGACTATGAGTCACCTTTGTAATAGAGAATTTGAAATGATTGGAGTACTTACAACGGACCAGGCAGCAGCACTTCCACGGCCGTATAGTCTCTCCGCAAGCCTCCATGAATACCAATCGCTCAAGGCAGCAAACCCAGTCTGTAAGACCTTAGGCGCTGCAAGGAGCCATGTAGCTTTGGTTGCTGGAGACATCCCTGACCCTTGGAAGTTCTGGACGATCCAATATCCAAAGGCAAATATAGTAGGGTGGATAGATGATCGAAGCTGGTGCTTCCATTCCTTTTTCAGATATTAGCTATAGGCTTCCAAGTGAAGTCTAAAATGTACACAACATAAATAGTTAAGGGATGTTCGAAAAGGGGGTTATCTGAAAGCTACACACCCAGGTCATCCATGCTCCGCTGTCTTTTCCGAATACCAAGTTCCAAGCTGGTTCGAGAGCTTGAAAATATTCATCCGGCTGAAAGAAAGTACGGACACAGAGCGCGTTTACGAAACGGACGGCGAATATGACCGCTAGAGCATCCCGGGCTTGAACAGCGGCTACTTCAGCGTTTGTCTTTTTCTTTCCTGAGCTCATCTTCAAGTCTCGTGAGTCTCATAGGCCTCATGTATCCATTTCACATCACTCAATTTCAGGGAACAGTGAGAATTGAGAACTAAGAATATTAGGTAAATATATATATACCTTATATATATATAGGTACCCAGGTAGGTGAGTTGAGGCTACCTGGCATTTGATGTGATCTAGATGTAGTAGCAATTGTTAATCCAGATTTGGATTTCTCGGAGCTGTCCGTATCGAGACATATGCAGATAACCTGATAACATACGGAATATATGGAGAGGAGATATGCTAAGCTGTGCATTAGATTATGCACCTTGCCTTACTTTATGAACATAGCTTAGCGCGGACAGCTGACTGCAGCTGCGCATTTGAGGCTTGCTTCAATAGCCGTATGATCCGATAAGAGCATACTTCATTCAATCTAATAGTAACCCATTAGATGAATAACTTCACATTCCACATTTCGCCGCCAAGGCAAGGGATGATGCAGCAGCGTCGGATACCACCCCCACGAACAGAATACTACGAATTACCATTGGCTGTCTTGAAAATAAACCACTTCTGATTGGCCTCCGATTTGAGATTGTTCGGCCATCCGTGACCTCTCCGGGCTCGGCGGTCACTTTCTTACTGCAGCCGCCTGTGTCATAATGTCGATTGCTGTAGTACCCGGGGTCTTGCAGTTCTTTGTGCGAGTAATGGCTTTTTTTTTCCCTCTGGTTAGACAGGTAGGTAAAGTAAAAAAAATTTAAAAAATTTTCAGTTTTACCTCATTGACGAAATATCACCGAAATACGGATACATAATAGCAACACCCTTTCCTACATAGCTCCAAGGATTAAACAGTTAAAATACTAGTCAACTAGTAGAAAAATAAAAACAAACAACAAAACGTCATTCCAAATTCTACTCCTATATCATAGTAGTTCTACTCCTTATCCTTGTCCTTGTCCTTGTCAACGCCGCTTTGCTTCGGCAACGGACACCGGAATCTTCACCGCATGTGACCAACTTAAGACTTCAAAACCGTGCAAACTTGTCATCATCGCAGCAGCCGCGACTGGGCGAGCCGCTTCGACTTGCACTTAGGGGTTTAGTGGCTATCAGTCCGCGCTTCCTTATTACGTACTTAACATACCATAACTCTCTTGACTACCAACTCGCCCCCGCCTTACCATTCTTTTTTATCTCTTCCCTATCTCTAAAAGTTCTTGGCCTTTCTTCTTTTGACTTTTAGCTTCTTTCTTCTATAAGAACCGAGAATACCCTTCAAGCTTCAAGGCAATATTCTAATTATTCTAGCAATAGGTTAACTTCCAACAAAGTATTGTCTCTTTCCACGATTTTGGGTCTTATCACTCACTCTTCTTTTTCGACTTTTTTTTTCTATCTTAACAGCCATGTCTCCTCACGCAGACGCTCCGACTACCCGCTTGGGCAATGGCTCGAATGGCTCGAATGGCTCGAATGGCTCGACAGTCTCGTCTAGATACCATTCTTCTTCGACCAAGGCTGCAATTCAGGCAGAAAATCAATACGCCGCCCACAACTACCATCCGCTCCCCGTCGTCTTCGCTCGCGCGCAGGGTGCCGACGTGTGGGATCCTGAAGGCAAGCACTACATCGATTTCCTCTCAGCATACAGCGCCGTGAATCAAGGCCATTGTCACCCAGAACTGGTGAAAGCTCTCACTGAACAGGCTGGAAGATTGACCTTAAGCTCCAGGGCATTTCACAATGACGTGTTTCCCAAATGGGCGGAAAAGGTGCAAGCGATGTTCGGGTACGACATGGTCCTGCCGATGAACACGGGAGCGGAGGCTGTAGAAACAGCTATCAAGATTGCAAGAAAATGGGCCTATAAAGTCAAGGGTGTTCCCCAGGGCAAGGCATTGGTGTTCGGCGCCGAGGAAAACTTCCATGGCCGCACGGTAGGTTGTCCCGCATGTGGGGTGGCTCTTATTTTTATTTTTTATTCATCTTTTTCTAACGTCATAAGTAGATGACGGCGGTGACTCTATCCACCGATCCAGAGTCAAGGGATAACTACGGGCCATATGTGCCAAATATTGGGGCCATATCCCCCTCCACTGGTAAGCCTATTCGGTACAACAACGTGGCTGACTTGGAAGAGCTGCTTGAGACTCATGGGCGTGAGACTGCTGCGTTCATTGTCGAGCCTATCCAGGGAGAGGCGGGAGTAGTGGTTCCCGATGAGGATTACTTGAGCAAAGTGCATGCGCTTTGCAAGAAACATAATGTTCTCTTGATCTGTGATGAGATTCAGACGGGTATCGGTCGCACAGGTCGGATGCTGTGTTCTGAGTGGGCTGGCATCAAGCCGGACATGATTACTTTGGGAAAAGCTATCTCTGGTGGCATGTATCCCGTCAGTTGCGTCCTCAGTAGTAAAGAGATCATGCTTGTCGTCGAGCCTGGAACCCATGGCTCGACGTACGGCGGAAACCCATTAGGCTGCGCTGTCTCTATACGTGCTCTTGAGCTCATGGAAGAGGAGCAGCTCACCCAAATGGCTGAAAAGCTTGGTAATATCTTCCGCGACAGTCTAGCGTCGTTTAATTCGCCGCTTATCAAGACTATCCGTGGAAAGGGACTACTAAATGCCGTCGTCATCGACGAATCAAAGGCCAACGGCCATTCAGCTTGGGACCTCTGTCTTCTTCTCAAGGAGAAGGGTCTTCTGGTAAGTCCCGTAGCAGACGCTCATCTTCCATTTTGCAACACAGTGCAAACACATGGCTAACTCGGAAATCAGGCTAAACCGACACATGGTAACATCATCCGGTTTGCACCGCCGTTGGTTATTTCGGAAGCGCAACTTCAAAAGGCCATATCCATTATTGGCGATGCGCTGCAGGAGCTACCAAATATGAAGAAACATGAGGACGTCCACGTCGGACTGGAGAATTGATTTCTTGCGGCGCATTAGCACTATCACTACCGACACCCCGCCTTTCCGGCCCGTGTGAAGTAATGGGACGGGATGGGATTATGCATCTGGATTGGGAGGTAGATTCGATGACCGCTCATTGGCAAGGCGTACTGCGTCGAATACAAGTGGAAAAAGGGTAGTAAGAGGGTGCGAGACCACCTACCTACATAGTAAACGGTGGACATGATTAGGATTAGGGTGGTGTCCTTAGGTACTACCCTTACAACCCTGTCAAACCTATAAAGTATACCCGGCAAGGTTTGTTTCTTTGCCTATTACATTACTATGTATGAAGTATACGGAGAGCTATCATAGATTCCTACCTCCTTGGGTACCTAGACTACAGGTTTACAGGGATCACTCGCGATTTAAAGGATTGTGTTGCGCTAAAAGGCGGGTTTATCTGTTCCCTGGTTCTAAGTCGGCAATGCGGGGGCCCTATGCGGCAATGTGCATAGTGTGGGTAATGATGGTTTGGTGGGAAGCATAGAAATTACTGTTAATGGAACAGCTGATACGAGGCAGACTTGAGCGTTTTCCGTCTTTCGTCTTTGCATCTCCTATTGTAGGTATGACCATTTTACTAGAGTGATCGTAGTGATATGTAGCTTGGCCGCAGGCTAGCCAGCTCAACTAAGTCCTACGTTATGTACATGTGCTTTAGCTTAATGCAGTAGACGTGTCTCACAATTCATGTGGCCCGGGGACTGCAGCTATCCTGCATGATACAATACATTTGAGCTTTGGATGCTTTGGATGCTTTCGATTCGACCATTCTCAAGTTGAAAGCTCGGCATTGGTCTAACCTACTACCTCATATACCTATACCTACATGTACCCTCTATGCATACCGACTTAGTACGCATGTTATTGGATCTACTTACATATACGTGATAGGCATAGGTAGGTAGGTAATATATAGCTAGTTAGAATCTGAATCATTATTTGCTTTTGTCCAGCTTACACGCCATTGTATATGAGGTAGTGAAGCAGTCTTGTAGTTTCATCGAATTCGTAATGGAATAGACACACCCTGCAAACTATTTAATATTAAAATTACCTTCCATCGGGTAAGTCAGGAACAGGACCTTAAAGCGAGCGCCAAACTTGAAATTCGAAACCTAACTATGTTAAATTCGACTAAGTAGTAAACAAATAATGGAAAAGAATGGCTTTCGGGTTTCCGATTTGTTCTCGGATCGAAAAGACGTGCATACCGCCCAGGGGGGTTCCCACAAGAACCGAGTACGTGTAGCTTCGGTCTGCCTAAGACCGACATAAGAGATGGGACGGGGTTGCATATAGCCCCCATATGCGAGACTAGAGAGGTTGCAGAGAGAGTTGCAAAGACAGCTGCAAGAGTTAATCTACCTGGAAAGAAGTCCTGAAGCAACGCGTGTGTAGCATTGCCTAGGCGATAGTGAAATCGAGGAGGCATATCAATATAAGTACCTAGGTAGGTAGTCAAGAATAAAGTAGGTGTGTAGGAATACCTCCAGTTACATAGTAAACATGTGTTGGTAAACTCGGTAGTTAGTATGTAGATAATAAAACTTGTGGAAGCAATGCACAAACGATTATCTCTGACGAATGGAAAGAAAAGCTCAAGACTTTTAAGACAACACATCCAACCTTAGCGTGAGCAACACGGGCATCGCGGGCGTCGCGGAATATACCATGCATTTGCGATCGCTGATAAGAGAAGTAATAATTAGGTCTCTAATGTAATTCCGATACTCGACCAAAATCGGATCCCGGTCGCGGAACAGATAGGAAGAAGACGGACTGGGGATCGGATGGAATTACACTACGAGCCGCCTTTTTTTCAGGGTCCTTATCAATTGATTCAATTGATTCATTACTGTGTATTCAAAGCGTTGCTTTGTCCTACGGACCTACGGTATCAAACGCCAACCTTACAAACGAGGACCAGCGAATTGGGAAACCCTTGTGACCAAGCATTGATGCTTCTCATACCTTAAGCCACTATCTGTGACACGCATACTACCTATGTAGATAGTCTGGGTGGCTTTTATTTTCATTTCTAGGTATTTTTTTTTTAGTCCAAGCTCAGTCAATTATCAATTATTACCTGTTATTGTATCCATCACCTCATAATTGTGTTTAAAAGCATCATATTTCCCCGGCCGAGCCTCAATGAATGATTAAACGGTAGAGTGGTATTTGCAAAGAATGACGGAAAATAAGCTCATAAGCATTTTACCTAGGTTTAGCTGTATTAGCTGTAAGATACAAAAGCAATCGGGGAATAGGCGGTCGACAATTGATGATGCAATGCGTATAGTTGTTTGCGACTTGGCCTCGGATCTACAAAGGAGTAACAATAAGGAGGTAAAGAAACATGCAAAAGGGCGCCAAAGCAACGCACCGAACACCCGCTTTAAGCTGACTAAACGAATCAACGCGAACTAATACCTAGTCCCCTTTTTTATACATGCGCTAGCAACTATTGTATCCTAGGCTTTTGTTCCTCATAACATGATCCTCTTAAGAAGATGCAAACAATACTGGAGTGGCAGACCGCCTTCCCCAGATGCGACTCGGAAGAATCAAAGGAAATGGGTTAAGTTTGGGACGATGATCAATGACAAGTGGATACTACAACGCGTGCACCAAGAACAATTGAACGGGGGAGAGAATGGAGAGAGGGAGTTGGGTCCCACTTATAATCCATGTCTGCCATGTCCAGCATCTAGGTACAATGATACATACCTCATAGGTACCTAGATACAATACCATTAGGTAGTACAATCACCATCGCACCAATCACCATCGTACTTGCGTAAAGTATGTACGTGTGTACTTCGTATACCTAGCATCGTAGCTACATGTAGGTAGCACCATAGCACGATGCTTAAGTGCATCCAGCACCTAAGCATTTAGCGCCTTGGATACAACAGGTACCAGCATCTACCAGCATCTTTTTAGCAAGGCTGTTCGCCGTTTCATTCGCTAGCCGGTCCAGGAAACAGTGGGAAGCTGGTGGGTCTAGGCTTAGCGGAATCGGCTTCTAGATTTGATTTGCAGTGTTAATGCTTCGGTGCCTTATCAGCGTTATCATGCTGAAGAGTCACGGGTGACGAGTCTGATCTTCATTGTTCACCATCGCATGTCGCGAGTTCTACTTTACTTTTACTAAGATAATAGTACCTTACCTGCCTCCTCGTCCCCCTCGTCCCGTGAGCAACATTTGATCAGATTGCCTCCTCGCCTCGATTACTTTCTTACTTTCTTGACCTTCTTCCTCTGGTCCTTTCTGTTACTTTCTTCTTCACTTTTATAATATTTCCCCCCTTCCTTAGTTACCCATTTATTGAGGAATGAGGAATTGCTCTTCTCTTACATATATCCCTAAGTTGTCATCCTGCCATTTAAACTCACCCTTATCGCCCATCTATCTAAACCCCGTTCAATTACCTATTATTGATCTTCTAAACCCCCGTCAGAGAACAAAACAAAAAGGCGGATTGTGTCATATACAACGAACCTGAACCTGAACCTGTACTTTATATTTAAATAACATCACTCCCGTCATCAACCTTATCGAGTTATCAATAAAGGACAAGACAAAAGTCACAGACATAAAAGAGAGACACGCAGCCTGGGGTACAAGTACATATTAGTGCAGACCGAGTCATTCACTTGATTTTCGGTCAATCCAAACGGGACCACCCCAACCTTCGAGTAAGCCTAGAGAAGAGCTAGGTACCTACTTATTCTTATCCATCTCCATCCTATCCCGTACCGGAGCTGCAAGCTTTAGGTAGCTACCGCTCGCGAACCCTCGCAGCTATCATTCATTGACTGCTTCCTTGCAATATTCTTGCACATCCACCTCTTCCCCCCCTGTCCAGCCCACAAGGTACCTACATACAGCTACCTAGGTATATACAGCCTGCCTACGGTTTCATACGTCAGGTTCTTGTATTATACCTATTCTGGTAACCCTACTGTGTAGACCTACATCAGATCTGCTTCTCTACCTCTTCTCCTTCAACGGTTGCCTCTTCTTGCCACACCCCCCCTCGTTCAACACTTGGGATACTAGCAGTGTTATTGTCTGGTTGTCAATAGACACGAACGAGACACAAGATCTCTCCATCGCTGTAACCCTTGTGGCCTAAATCTTCCTGTGTCTGTCATTCGAGGTGACACAGACACAGACACATCCCCGCCTTTCAAGGTTCCTAGGTTCCTATTCCCAAGGGCCTCGATTCTCCGCCGACCGACCTATCGGATACCCTGCCTCTACGGAGTACATCATTTACATCCACATTGACGTCCCAAGTCCCCCAACCGATCTACCTACGCCTTGGTCTAGCGACACGCGAATATTCCAACTGGCTTCCTTCTTTTCGATTTCCTCAACGCCTTCGCCTCGTGGCATCTTTATCTCCCTTTCCATCGACGAACTACAATCCCATTCGTTCGCATCCAAGCTGTATGTGTACATGACGATAACTCGAGTCACGGACTTCATCCCGATTCCCATATAAGCCCCCGGGCTGCATTGACCAAGCTTCCTGTCATAAGCCAACCTACACAGGGAGCCGCCATGGCTGACCCTCGAATACATCCGGGCTCGACTACTCGTCGGGCTCGAAATGCTGATATTGGTCAGTTCATCATTGGTTCCGAGATAGGCAAAGGTAGCTTCGCCCAGGTATATATGGGCAAGCACAAGGTTCGTACCTCCAAGGCTACGCCCAACCATACGCCCTATCATGATATGTTTGCACTTTTTTGTATTTGTAGAGAGGCGACTCGGCCCTCTTTTGATTGCATCTAATAAATCAAAATAGCGCCGGTCGCACGGTTCCTGAACATGATCATGAGTCATACTGAAGGGTAGCAGTCGAGCTAATGGAAATGACACAGGTATCCGGCGCTTTGGTCGCGATCAAATCCGTCGAGCTCGCGCGGTTGAACAAGAAGCTGAAGGATAATCTCTATTGTGAGATTAAGATTCTCAAGAATTTACGACACCCACACATCGTCGCCCTTCATGACTGCATCGAGTCCACGACCCATATCAACCTTATTATGGAATACTGCGAGCTGGGAGATTTATCAATGTTTATAAAGAAGCGAGACAGCCTCATCACATTTCCTGCGACTCGCGATATGGCGCGAAAGTACCCCAGCACTCCCGGTGGTGGCCTTCACGAAGTTATTATCCGCCATTTCCTTAAGCAACTTGCCAGCGCCTTACAATTTCTTCGGCAAGGCAATTTCGTCCATCGAGATATTAAACCCCAGAATCTCTTGCTGCTTCCGTCACCGTATTTTAGAGAGGCAAACAACAGCCGTCCGATTCTCAGTGCTAGTAACGATTCGTTAATACCGGCTGTTGGGCTACAATCGATGCCCATGTTGAAGCTAGCAGATTTCGGCTTCGCCCGTGTCCTGCCAGCAACGTCTCTAGCCGAGACCCTTTGCGGGTCTCCTCTCTATATGGCGCCCGAAATATTGCGCTACGAGCGATACGATGCAAAAGCAGATCTATGGTCTGTTGGCACCGTCGCATACGAGATGATATGCGGTAGGCCGCCATTTCGAGCTAATAACCACGTTGAGCTCCTGAGGAAAATTGAGAGCACCGATGCGTATGTCAAGTTCTCAAAAGATTGCCAAGCGAGCCCGAATATTAAGGCATTGATCCGTGAGCTTTTGAGACGTAGACCTTGCGAAAGGTTAAGTTTCGAGGAGTTCTTCAGTCATGAAGTCATTTCAGACGAAATACCGGGTTTGGTTGAGGATGACATACCTCAAGTTAGGAGAAATCCATCAAAAGAAGTTCGCGCTACCTCGCGAACTGACGAGTCTGATCTAATCCCGCGACGCATGTCAACTCATCGTCGTTATGCTACTGAAACAGATGCGGTACATCAAGAGAATAGCTCTTCGTCGCCTCGCGAAAGGCCATTAAGATCCTCGCCTCTGGCGTCACCGGCCGAGTTCGAGAATTCGGATCCACAACTTCAAGGCGGATCGCGCACAAACCAACCCCCTCGAGACGATATTGCTCCGGGGCTTGGTATTCGACGGCCGCAGAATGTACCCTCCACTTCCGTACCTACTCGGGGTGCCTACGTTGAAGACCGCCGACAGCGCGGATTATTATCCAATGCCTCGGTCAACAAAAATTCGCATGGCCAATCTCCACCGTACGAAGAAACTAGGAGGGTTAAGAGTAGGTCAGAGCGTTCTGCGATAGAAGAAAGAGCTGCACAGGAGATTGCTTTTGAGCGTGACTATGTTGTGGTAGAAAAGAAGCATGTAGAGGTGAACGCATTTGCTGATGAGCTGGCTGCAAAGGGAGCCCAAGCGGAGGCCTCATCTCCCAGGTCAGGACAAATCATTCGGCGTGCTACTCAGCAAGGTGTGCCAACGTCGACGACGGGCGCAATTCCTGCTCAGCCGTCTAGTGCGCTTCAGATCGCACAAGGCAGGCAACGACCTGATCATTATCGACGAGGTTCCTACGAGAAGAACTTGTCTGGTAGTCCTGGTTCTACCACATCCGCCATCTATAACGCAATTTCAGATGCGAGCTTGAGGATTTTCGGCTTCAAGTATCCGACGCACTTGCTTGGTAAAGGCACATCGCCTCCAAACCCCTACAATGCATTTCCTGCGTACCCTACACCAGCCGCTCCTACCGGCTACATCACGGACGGACGCCAGGGCGGTCCCATCGATGAAGACTTACGTGTTGCTCAGTGCATCGAAGATCTGGCGTCGCGAAGTGACGTTGTCTGGGGTTTTGCTGAAGTGAAGTATAAGCAGTTAGTACCGTTGGCGCCTTCGATGGACCATGGCTTGGGCGGAGTGCCCGCCGAGAAGATGGTCTTAGAAGAGGACGATGGTTTAACTGTGGAGGCCATTGTATCACTCTCAGAGGAGGCTCTAGTTCTCTACGTGAAAACCCTCTCGCTTCTTGCTAGGTCTATGGATATCGCAAATATCTGGTGGACGCGCAGGAATCGTATTGATTCTAGCTCTACTCAACACGTCATTAATCGCGACGCAATTAGTGCTCAGAACCTAATAACGAGGGTCAATTCCGCCGTCCAATGGGTCCGTAGACGGTTTAACGAGACATTAGAGAAAGCTGAGGTGGTACGACTGAAGCTCCTCGAAGCTCAGAAGCAGCTTCCAGAGGACCACCCAAGCCACCCAGCAAACAATCAACTTGAACTCCTTCCGGCTGGCACCTCGAGCACGGAGGGTATTGTGTTAACAGCAGGTCTTAGCGCTGAAAAGCTAATGTACGAAAGAGCCCTCGAAATGAGCCGCGCCGCTGCTATCAACGAAATTGCCAACGAGGATTTAACTGGATGTGAACTCTCGTATTTGACTGCCATTCGAATGCTTGAAGCAGTGCTTGATAACGATGAGGACCTCTCAAAACGTAGACTTTCCGGATCTTCAAAGGCCGAACGCGATCCGATTCGCGAGAGCGCATCCGATATCAATCCGGATGATCAGCAAGCTGTTCATAAAAGTATGTATTCCTATTTCTTTAAGTAGTAGACTGTACGATTAACTAGCCATTCAAGTGATCCAAATGATCAACGGCAGACTTACGGCCCTCCGAAAGAAACTACAGATGATCGCCAATGCTTCGAAAGCCCAACAAGATCTATCCCGAAAACGTAGCGGTGATGTTACACCGCGGAGTGTTCCCATCGGTGCTTGATCACCTAGAAAGACACCTTTTCTCACGACGTATGACGACACGTAAAAAGATTGCACTACACCTATTCAAGCCCCGCGGCCCTTTATAATTTGTTTATTAAGACTAATCCCACAGCCATGACTGACAATGGCTGGTCTCATCATCACCGACGGGATTCATCATTCGGCGTTTTGGGCGGTAACTTCATTTCACCTCGAGTATATTTATAGGTCCGGATATTCTTTCTATGGTCGCCGTCGAACCGGCGCCCTTTTTCCTTTCGCGTGTCACCATTTTTAGGGTCTCGGGCATATGCCAATTGGATTGGGAGGGCGTTACTTGGCCCTCCGTGTAAGTTGGCGTGTTGGCACAGAAGAATCTCTGTCGCAAATCTCTGGCGTATTGGCGGGGGTACAGATACACGGCATCACGACTATGTGGTTTTGGCCGTCGTAACCTTGTACACGGGCGGTACAGGTTCCCCAGACATGTTTGGCATTTTGTTCCTACGACGACCGAATACCCCCTTTAGCGGACACGGAGTGTTCCGTAGATAGGGAATGGATCGGTCGTATCTTGCTCCGTTGTTATTTTGCGCGTGTCTTAGTCGGTGTTCACGGTAAATCATAGGGTTCTTCTGCTAGAGCTGGCCGGGGCTGGTTGCATATGAATTTTCGGACTATGGCGTCCTCTGTACCTACAGTGTATACGGCAGCCCTGCCGTTCTCGTTACCGTATGGACAACCTGGAAATTGACGGTGCTTTGGCTATTTCGTATTTGATTTCGTAGGGTGAAGCCATGTAGATGATTTTAAATGCCAGTATCCTTATATTGGGTTTGTGATTGATTAAGCTGTGTATAAGGGTGTTGAGTGTGGGCTTGCCTGTTTGAGTGTTGAACGGATTAGTTGACTTGTGAGGTAGATATGTGTATTTCTATTTCTATTTGTTTCATTTCCTATATCATTTCTCTTTGTCCTTCTTACTGGGCGAGTAGGCCTATACACTAAGGGGAAATGTCACATATCGCTTACTTGGGGATTACATGGGACTTGGGAAGAGTTTAGATTTTAGAAGATATTTATAAAATCTATCCAGTTAGTTAAGAAGAAAAAGAATATTCCGCTGGCATTTTAAAGCTTCGTAAATATTTCACAATTATCCGGCCAAGAATGGTCTGCTTGGTGTTCCGGTTCTGAATTCAAGGAACTCAACTTGAAGAGACGATTTCTCCTTCGGCAGCGCGAATTGTACCTCGAATGTGTGTTGCCGGCCAATACCTACGATGTCATTGACGACTAATAAATGGTTACTCATAAAGTTTTAAAGAATTATATCAGATAACTACTTCGTAGGTATAAGTTTTGTGTATGACATGGGCTCGGGAGATGTCCCATTATGACGTCTATCGAGAGCTAGTGCCTGAACTACCGTCTTACGTCGATCAATATATGTAGGCAGATAGGTATCAATCTATCGCCATAAGCGCCTAACTAGATATTCTCATCGCTAGCCGGATCGGATCGGTAAGCTTCTTATGTAGGTCGGACGCTTATTTTCTTTCCATCGACATAGATGTATCCACTCGAGCTGGAACTGGATACTACGTCTTTCGACGGGAGTTATATAGTCGTATTATGGTGGGTGCATAGGTACATGATGTTAGGTATGTGTGAGTCTTAATTACATAAGACGAAGCGAAACCAGTAGCTAATACCTACCTATGTACATAAGGTAGACGCATGGCTAGGACTTTTTACTTAGGTGCATACGTATGTAGTACCGTAGAGCTAAGCTTCATGATGTAGTATCCTACTAAAGAGGTGATCTGCGGGGCGAGCTTCCCATGTGAAAGCTAACAATCCGGAAGTCCAAGATACTTCCGTACCTGGTTCAACAATGTGACCGGTCTCCAGCTTCGTCGTGACCCATCAGCCATGCTTGTCTACGTAATAGTACCTCAAACTGCCGTTGCATGAGACGACGATCCGCGGTGTATTATGTGGTGTAGTGTAGTATGCTCTCTATGTAAGCAATCTTCTAACCGGAGTTTGACAGCGAAGGGGGGGGAGTTAACTATGAAGGCGACAGCAGAGAAAACTGTACTAATTTTAGGACACAACCAAAAAGAGTACCCCCAAATGAGGTATTATCCGTGCTGATCGGTGGCGGGGTTTAAGCGCATTGTAATACATGCTCCAGCCAAATTTGGGGACCTCAGGAGCTTCTTCCTATCAAACGACATGGGAAATAAGATTCGTGCTCCCGTACGTGCACGGGGTACGAAATTGGGGGAGAGCTGCGTTCGTGACGCCAGTAAGAAATGAGGATAGAATTTGCCAAGGACAGTCCGGATTCGACTAACAAAGGAGACAATCCCCTTCTTTGAGGAACGCTGTAGAAGGGTTGGTAAGGGTCGACGTCATATCTGGAACTTGGGTTCTTGAGAGACGGGTTGACAGTAATAGGTAATACCGTATGTCTATCTGTCTGTCTGTGACCCGCCCCCTCTTTCTCCCTAGCCTCCATTATACGTCCTGTACCTGGTTGCTCGTGCTTGTCGATAGAGACGCTAAAGAGGCTGAGCAAGTTGGGGGTGTATTTCTCTGTCTTGACTCTTCACTCTGTCCTATCAAAAACTTGGAAATGGTAGCATATGACGCTGACAGCATGATAACTATGTACATAGCTGGCCCGGCATATTGAATTGAAATAAGGTGGCAACGGCTTAACTTAGGCCAGTGTGTATGTACGGAATATTGTACAATACGAATAGACCTATCATTGCTGTGGCTTGAGCTCAGCGCAGTCTGAGCAATGGATGCCCCAAAGTGGTCACCTATCAAACTACCGGCCTCATACCTAGGCTATGTACACAATAGTGACACGATACTAGTGTAGTGTGTGTAGTGTAGCTCTCGAGGGAGCTAATAATAACTTCTTAAGGAGAGGAGGAGTAGCTTGATTTACTTCAGCTGCCGTATACAGAGAAAACCAGTGTTTAAATGCAGCTCGAACCATGTTTCAGAATAAACCTGTTAACCTTGTTTGGAACGATACGAGAAGTCTACTATATAGTGTATGTAAGATGCGCTTCTAGACTCGTGGGTCTTGGATTACCCCCCTGTTTTTTTGATACCTCTTGTTCGACCGCCTCTATGTATTGTATGTATTGTATGTACTAGGTTCCCCGATTGTAGGGTTGCGGTGTCGCGGTCCGGAAGTGATTAGTGCAACGTAGAGGCTTAGCACAGTCTTCCACACGGTCCATTCCAGCTTCGAGGTGCCCTCTAGTTAGTGTAAGTCCTAACCGTTATATATTTGTATTGTACCATCATCCATGAGCAAGCAGTGTCTTACATACAGACGTAATTATCTTAGATTCAATGTTCATGTTTGACCAGTTGACCAGAAAGTTATCCTCGCCCAACTTTCACTTTAACTAGCCTTCAAGTCTATCTTTATGGGAGATCTACATATACGAGGTCGGTCAGTAACTTTGCGCCATGTCCAATATGGGAATGCCAAGTGTAAAGGAGAGAGGCAAGTTTAAAAGGTAGCCGCAAAACTTGCAGCAGCCTTAAAGGAGGTAAGTCAGCAACAGGCAGCTATATTATATGATCCACAAGAGTCTGCTATAGGTATTGGTAGATAAATTATGTAGATTATAGTGTATACATGTCGCCCCCGCGCGGGTCAAAAACAAATAAATTATATCCTTTACCGAGTAGAAGGGAGATGTGCACGAGGATTGAGATAAGTACATGTAATATACTAAGGTTCCAATACATGTACGAGGTACATATTGTAAACGGTATTGAACTCAGAATTGTATACCTTTGTTGGATGTAAGGAATTAAAGTTTAGACTTGTATGGCATTTCAATATGAGGAATTAAGTCGAGAATGTGATACCTGACAGTAATAATGATGTGACTGTACACACTGTATTTCCGTACGGTATAGTGCACTATGTATCTAAGCCACAGTTGACAGAGTGGTGCCTATACCTTAGGTAGTACGTACCAGCCGGAAAGCAATGCTCTTTCCCGGGCTAACCAGCTAACATAAAGGCAGGTAGGTACCTAAGTAGGTAGGTGGGAGTGGCATTCCCAGGCCCAATGTAGTACATACCTCCTACGGGCTACGAGCTACGAGCTACGGGCTACGACCCAGCCTAGGTACCACCAACCTAACTTCAAGTTAACCTACCTGACACTGACATATTTCTCTACCTACCTTACCTACCTGCCTACATTACCTCTTACAACCTCTTACCCAATTGTGCTCTGGTAATAATTCAGGGCTAACCACACTCACTTTCATCTTCAACCTAACTGGCGCCCTTTCAACGAATTTGAATGTATCAATGATATCAGTCACAAAAGGTGTCCCGCTCACCGACGCTCGAAGATTGTTCAAGTCCCATTTGTTAGGCCCTAGCCCGCCCTGAAACATTTGGCTTAGACCCGACATTCATTCATTATTATTATTATTATTACACCTCTGCACCTGTACCCGCCCTGCCGCCTTGCCGCTGCTGCTGCTCTCTATCGCCGGCAATCAATCAAACCGCCCACCTACAGGCTACAACCTACCTCCTACCCACCAAACCCACGTCTACGCACACACGCACATGCCCGCATTTGATCTTGTCTTTTAACATTTCTTAATACGGCGAACCTCGAAAGCTTAAGCTTCCTTCGTTTTACTAACTACCTATCCTCTCAACACAAAGGCTGTTGTTACCAAAGGCGTACAAGATCACGCGCATCCATCGTCACGACGTATCATTTATAACCCTGCTGTCTGCTGACGGTCGCGGTCACTGTCGCCCGCGCGTCATAGACCATGGCGTCTGCCGGCACTACGTCGCCATCGAAACCACAACAACAGCAAAATCAACAGCAAAGGTGTCCGCCGACGCCGCCACAGCATCCTACTCCTGCTGCCAATCCTGCATCCCCGCCTAGCAAGCGAGATCTGAAGTCGTGGTGGAAGGCTTTCCAAACTCGGTCAAGGCACCAAGAATCTCAAGGTAAGGGCAACAATCACATATCCATTCCCACCCGCATGCCAATCGCCCACTGTTCAACATTTTTTCTACAAGCTACCAGTCTTCCATCCCAATCCCCTAACCGCCGGTATTGGTATAATAAATGCTATATGGCCCTGCATATATGTCGAGGAACTCAGAATGGTCAGCCTACGTCTCTAATAGCAGGTTTGCTCTGCAAGCTACGCTATTTTGGCAGTTAAGGAGAACAGAGAAATGCAAAGTGCCATCACAGTAAGAAAGAGGTAGCTAACGTGAGAGTCAAAATAGAGTCCCAACCTAAAGGTATATTTGGTGTCCCTCTACGACAAAGCATCACATACGCGAACGTCGCCATTTCACTTGTCGATGAGGACGGTCAAAGCTACATATATGGATATGTACCAATTGTAGTGGCTAAATGTGGTGTTTTTCTGAAAGAGAAAGGTTAGCGACAAACCCCTAAGGCATTTGGTCGTATGCTAATAATGTCATAGCTACCGGTGTAGAGGGAATTTTCCGCCTCAGCGGCTCTGAGAAGCGCATTAAGGAGCTAAAGATACAATTCGACTCACCCGATCGATATGGCAAAGGTCTCGTGTGGGATGGGTATACGGTTCACGATGCTGCTAACGTCCTTCGACGGTATTTGAATGACCTACCTGAGCCCGTAGTTCCGCTAGATTTATACGAGCGATTCCGAGATCCCTTACGCGGACACACAAAACAAGCTGTCGGCGATACCGAGGGTACCCAACTTGTGGAGGATTTCGACGAAGCCGAGGCTATAGAAAAGTACCAACAGCTTATTAAGGAACTGCCTCCGCTTAACCGACAACTGCTCTTGTATATTTTGGACCTGCTTGCGGTTTTTGCCGCCAAGGCCGATGAGAATCGGATGACAGCCCAAAACCTAGCTGCCATTTTTCAACCTGGAATGCTATCGCATCCTCAGCATGCCATGGCGCCAGAGGAGTACCGACTTAACCAATGTGTCATTATATTCTTGATCGAAAATCAGGATCATTTCTTAATCGGTATGCAAGGCACCGGTACGGATGAGAGAACTAAACAAGAAATTGAAAAGGGCCCACCGACGCTTGTAACACCCGCGACGCCGAACCGTAATACCGGCGTTGCGAGATCTGCCTCCAATGCTAGTGCTGGCGCTGAGAGCGTTAGTAGGGATGGTAAGATTCGGCGGAATCGTTCTACATCATCGCGGCACTCGATTCACTCTAATGGTGCTTCCACGCCTGGTAGCCCTGCTCTAACGCCAAATGGTGGGCTGGGAAGAAGCAATACAGTGCCGTCTAAGAAGTCGCCTCATATTCCTTCTGGAAAATTCCAGCCTCGGCAGAGTTCGCCTAGTGTCTCAGTAGCTCCAGCTTCGCCTTCACCTTCCGGTTCCAACACGGCCGCTCCAGCGACTGTAGCTGAAGAAGCGCCAACCGGAGCCGAGCAGTCCCCTGCGACATCGCAGCACCTAACTCCGATGGCGGCAGGGTCGCATTCTGCTGGAAGAAGTCAAGAAAGATTGTTAGGTCCTCCTGCCGATATTATAACTCCTTTAAGGGAGAGGAACCTCCAGAGCCTTTTCCAACGATCCCCGGTTGCGGAAGGTGAAAAGCGCCAGCCCAACAAGCTACGCAAAAAGCGATTACCTAGTAGTACCAACCCCAGTGCCCAGAGTTCGACCGCCTCCCTTCCCCATTCGGAGGCAGTTTCTCCGGTTCATGAATCTTCGAATCCGATAGAACAGAAAGTTCACCATCCAGGTCCCACTAACACAGAGAATAGTGCCTCTATAGAGACGCCGTCAGAGCCTACGCCGCGAGCGTCCCAGGTCCCATCTGCGAGCATCGCGCATGGCGATTCAGAGAACGGTAATACGCTCAAGGCAAAAACCTCACCGTCAACATCCCTACACTCGTCATTCAACGACGGGTCCGATGTAGACCAGGCAGAGGTTGGTGCGCCTGTCTCTTCCCCAGATGCGGCCGAAAAGGAAAAGAAACATCGATGGCGCATGTCTCGACGAAAGGAGGATTTCTCTAGCGAACATGGCCATAACCTAGGCTATAATTCCCATGCTGAGCTAAGCACGTCTTCTGTTGGAAGTGGACAACGGCCACGAAAGAGTTGGACGGGCGATTCCTCAGATGTGGCGGCGACACTAGCGGAAAGTGAAGCTGGAAGTAGAGAGAAAGAAGACTCGAAAGGTCCTATTGGATGGATTAAGAATAAGTATCGAGAAGCAAAGGAAAACGTGGAGGTTAAGCGCACGAAGTCCCCTCCGGGAGATCAAGTACAGGCCTTTCTAGCCTCGGGAAGGAGCGCAGAAACTATGGGAAGCATAGATGGAAAAGGGGCTCCCACAGGTCCGGGTCCAGTTCGTGTTGCAACACCTGATATGAACTCGGTACGCGAGCCGCGTGAGCCACACGAAATCCCGTTGCCAAGTTCTCCGCCCCCAACTCGGACGACGCACGACGAGAAGCCTGTACACCCCTAGGAGGAAGAGACTTCGGATTCGGACCAAGACCGCGGTTTGTTCTGCTGGGGCAGGACAATCAGGCTCGTAAACCAGACAAGACCGGCGCTTCGCACCGCTCGAACGAGGAGAACTGGATCGGATGACCTTGAACAACTAGAATAACGGTTCTTTTTTTTCTTCATCTTCAAGTTTTGGGTTGTCGGTGGTTCTCGTCCGGAAAAAACAGGTGGAATGGAAATGCGGATTTAGTGAATGAGCTTGATTGATGACGGGTTTGAATGCCTCACTCTCGAAAGTTTTGACGAAGTTTATGCGCGGGTTTTGGGAGATGACTATTTGTTTTCGAATTGGGGGATGCTCATGACGACCCGCTTCCAACGGGATGAAAAAAAATTAGGAGAAGAGGATGTGCTCTCCTCTTTTTATGGATACCCCTTCCCCCACCCCTTTGTTTTTAAGGCTGGTTTGTATGTCATGTTTTGATGTTTTTACGCGTGCTGTAATGTGGAATTTTATACTTCTTTTCGAATCTCGACTGCCCCTTTTTTGTCTCGGAGGCTTGTGCGTTTTTGGGCGTCCCCTCGGGTTGAAAAGTATCATGAGGCGGGGATGACTTCTGATTATCATACCGTTCAATACAAGGAGGCCACTTCGTGTCGTCCGGACGACTTTGCATTGTTACCTCTGCCATTTTGTATTTTGCATTCATGTCCTAATTTGCCGGAGTAGTTGGTGTTGAAAGTGCCTGCCAAGCAGGCTGGACCCATGCATATATACGTATTTGTATTGTATTGCAGACGAGAGGTTATCGAGTGTTCCACCAGGTTAGCCAGCGGCGGGTTGGACTATGGGTGTGTGTATGTATGGGCCATGGGGGGCATATTAATACTTGGACTTGGTTGCGGATAGGAGAAAGCTGGTTAACAAGATAACTGGCCTCGGAATTGCTTAGCTTAGCTTAGCTTAGCTCAGGGATACGTAGGCAACGACGTAATGCTGTTGCTGTGATAGATAATTGAAAGGAACAGTTCTCTTTATTCTCTTGGCCGGTTTATAACCACAGGCGTGTCCTTGCGGAGATGGCTCTGAAGAAATGCCTACCTTAGGCGATAGCACAGCAAATTGCCTCTAAGCCCGAATTCTCTGCTTACCATGGGCTTTACACCGTTCGTGATTTAACCCGGGCAGATGCTCTTACTTGGGCTGTCGCGGCCTGTCCGACACATTCGCATGATGTTGTAGCTCTTGATTTGACGAAGCTTGATAATGTTCGTCAAGTAGTAGGGTAAATTAACGTAAGCTGTAGACTGGTCAATCGGTTGAAAAGTGCGTTGATTATTCTAAGTCTGGTAGCCTTGCAAGCCCTACTTATATAGCACACATTACGGCCCTTATCGTGCCCTAATCACCTAGGTGACGTGGATTACACCTGAGTCACTTCCAACATGAGCTTATTAAATCGATTAATACGATTTTATAGATTATAGCCTTTAGGTAGGTAGAGCATGAGCCTTACTTAACTTAATAAAGATGACTTCCTAGGAAGTTATTCGGACGGACGAATACCCCACAAGTTACCAACGTAGGACATTGCTACGGATGGCATTAAACAGGGCCACCGGGAAGATATTCGTAAAGGTGAAATAAGGAATCGTGTCACTGTTTAGTTTGGTTATTTAAATGACTGTTATATATTAAGTCGAAGTAAAATTTGTACGGTTCAAATAACGCTGATCAGGCACCTGGTGACTTCTATTAGGACGAGACGGACTCTGCCGAGTTTCAGTGGAAAGGGAGATGGCCGACCTTGGAAGTAACCCCCTTTCGATCAAGCAATAAGACAATGCACACCAACCTGAAAGAAGGTTTACAAAGATAGTCTTGGATAATTCAATTGTAAATTCCTAGGTACCTTACTGTATTACCTGTAGACTCATATTAGCATGTATGAGATGATGTGAATTTGAAACCATGATCATTCAAAATAGAACAAGGCCCTTCCCTCTGTACTTCAGCCAGACAGTAGCACCGCAAAAATCATTTTATCTTTTTCTTATGGGCTAATTAAAACAGCTCTATTAGGTAATTTTGTACCTGCATGTAAGTCACTCCGGGCAGGTGCCGACTTCTCCTTCCGGGTCCGGACCCGGTCTACCTGCAGATACTCCGGACCTATCCCGTTTAGGAATCATCTCAGCGTGTGACTTCCACGACAAATCCACAACTCCATTCTCATATTACAAAAAAAAATTAATGGAATTTATTTATTTCCATCCTCCTCCTTCTTTTAAATAACTGAGTCTTTATCCAAATTAAAAGACTCTGGTTCTGATTTTGTTTGACCCATAACGAGATTAGGATCCGCTTTAACACCTCGCACCTAAGACCTAGGGTTCCTTCAATCACAGGTAGTCACTTACTACCTACATGACAACAACTTCATCCATTTCATTCCAAACCCAGTCTTTTTCTTCTGTGGCAGAACCAGCAAAACAATCAAGATGGCAGGAGAACTTCGCCAGCCTACCGTTCTCGCCATCGTATTCATGCTCCTCACAGGTCTCTATGGCTTCGTCAAGTTCTCGCATGAGAAGGACTATGCCGTATGTACTACTATACCCCATGATCCAACCTATCAATAAAGAAGACTAATTAATATTTGCAGACCGAGGGTAAGGCAGCAGCCATCTTGAAGGAACCTGTTCATCTCACCTCTACTTCGGGTCTTCATCCCCTTGTTGAACACCCCATTGTTGATTCTACTCGTCCACTCGTCACCTATGCATACACCGAGTCCCCAACTACTCGAGAGAACCTACTGTTTTTCGTGGAATATGGCTTGCGTAAGTAACCCCTTGAGATTGTGATTAGGTTGTATATGCCATTGATGCCTACTACGTGACGGCGAACTGGGAATAAATCCTACTCCTCTAAAATATACAACTCACTAACCCTACCACTACAGATGACAGCGCGGACTTCATCTTCATCCTCAACGGTCCCACCAACGCCGCCAACCTGATCCCCCGCAGCGCCAATATCCAAGTCATCTCGCGCCCGAATGAATGTTTCGATCTCGGCGCCCACGGCGAAGTTCTCCGCAAGAACGGACTGTGGAAGAAGTACAGCCGCTTCATCCTGCTCAATTCCGGTATCCGAGGGCCCTTCGTGCCGTACTGGAGCCGCAGCTGCTGGAGCGACGCGTTTCTGAACCGCGTCGCTAACGATGTCAAGGTGAGCAACAACAACCCCAAGACCCAAGACTAATTAATACCTAGGTAGTGTGTATGTACTAACAGCACATCTATCTATCTAGCTCGTAGGAACAACAGCAACCTGCCACCCCAAATTCCACATCCACCCCACAATCTGGGCTACAGATTCCGTCGGCATGGCACTTCTCCTGAACCCGCCCAAGCCCCCCTCAGCAGACCCATACAACACGGGCCGCGGCAGCAGCAGCAGCAGCCAAGTCGTCGCGCTGGGCGGGTGCTACGCGAGCCAGGCGCAAGCGACCCGCGGCGGCATCGAAGCGACGTCCGTGGTCAAGAAGGCAGGCTACAAAGTCGACGCTCTGATGGCGGCGTTCCACCACGGGAGGACCGGAAGCTACGAGGACGACTGCTCCGAAGACTGGGTCAAGGAGTCGATGCTGTACAAGCACTCGCACGGCAAGACGGCCCATCCGTACGAGACGTTGTTCATCAAGGCGGACAGCGACGTCGATCCGGGTGCCCTTGCCACTCATACGGAATGGTACAAACCCCATGGCGGAAATGGCAGCTGGGATATGTGTGGTTAGGAAATGTTAAGATGGATGGCTAGGATGGATCATCTATTTGGCTTGCGTAGCACTACGAGGTGCCGTTGCGCATTGATTGTACTGAGAGTAGAGTACATAGTCTCGAGCACATAGCACTGACCTGTGATAATAAGACGAATTCTTCGTTTTATGAGAACCAGAGACTACTCTACAATTACCCCCTATTCTCACAGCTGTTGAAAATCCATTGGTGATACAGTAAGTACCTCTGCTTGATGCCTCAAAGTCACCAGTAAACGCACGAGCAAAAACCAAACCGTCACTACTCCCCCGAGGGCGAATTTTGTTGACCGTACTTTTCCTCTTGTATGTGCATTTATCGTTAATATCTCAAGTTTGCCATATACACATGTAACCCCCTATCCGTAAGCACCACTACCTTACAAGCACATATTTCATGCACCTGTGACCATCGCTATCCCAGTAAATTTAATTTACACCTCACATAAACATGTTAAACCCCTCTCCCTTCTTCTTTGACTCCCCGGGCGCCGTATAATCCACGCCACCTATATTCGTCAGATCCTTCTCGAACGTATCTTGAATCTTAGTCACTTGTTTTAACTGCTTATAATCAACTTTCACCCCGTCGAAAGCAGCGAGACTTTCGGCAGCTTTGATCACGTTTTTAATCTGGCGACCGTTGAGGTCGTGTTCGGCGAGTTCTTGGAAACCGGCCTCGTCCACGTCGACGCCGCCGGGCACGCGGTTGCACAGGTTACGCCAGATCTGCAGGCGCGACGTCGAGCTGAGGTCCGTATACCTGATCGGAACGTGGATACGACTCTTGAAGCCCTCATCAAACGTACTGACCCTGTTCGTGGTGAGGAATAGTATGCCACCATAGTACTCGAGCGCCCGCAGGAAAACGCTCACCATCGCGTTCCGCTGCACGTCGTGGAGCGATCGTTGTTCGAGGAATACGTCGGCTTCGTCTATCAGTAGCACCGCTTTCCATGTCGAAGCAAGGTCCATGATCCGTGATAAATTGAGATCGAGATAGCTGCTGTTTATACCTAAATCGCCCGACGAGACCATGTACAGGGGCCGCTTGACGTATTCCGCTACGCACTCGGCAGTTAATGTCTTACCAACTCCAGGCGGGCCACTATCCAAATATCACAGTCAGCTGGTATTCACGTTATATATCATAATACGTGCCTAAAATATAACGTAGTCCGATACTAAATAAGGCTGGGTCCTTATGACGGATCTGGTAATTGTTAAGGAAATTTGGGAATACGTACTGCAGAACACACACGAGCCCCTGGCCCTTCCCCTTCACGATATCGTCAAACCCGTCCCGACTGCTCGAGTGCGTAGATACCACGGCCTGAACAGTTTTCTTTGTTGCCGGGTCGAGCACCAGATTATCAAAACAGTGGATATTCCATTCAATGGGCGAAATCTTATCGACGAAGAACTCGAGGAACTGCTTGACTCCAAACGCGTAACCCCGAACGGTGGCGTTAGTAATCGAAGCGTCGTCGTCGGATAGCTTATCGAAAGTCTTGGTCTCGCGCACAAAATCGATTTCGTTTATAGTCGTCATATGACTGGAATTGATAGAGCCCGTAGGTTTTCCGAGTTCTTCAACGTCGAATGCGTCGTCGGCTTCGAGCCTATGGTATGTTTCGCAGTCAATCATTATGCGCCCTTTGACGTTGAACCTTGCGTAGCCCCTTTCGGTCTTCTTAAGACCAACACCGTTGTATTGCTCAAAGTGCTGCCCTATGTAACTTTCGAATTTCCTGCCACGCTCGATTAACTCGGCGCGAATCCGGGCACTATCGTCTTGAAGGTCAAGCGGAATGGCAGTAAGCTCCGCCAACTGCCGCGTTCCCGCATACTTCTTGATAGACAGCTCAGCCCTCCTCGTACCAAGCGCGTTGCCATCGAAGTCGATGAAATTAGCCCAGAGGTTTAGGTGAGGATTGTCGCCTTCCTCATACCAGCAGCTGTGGACGCGGAACGCGCGGTTTTGGTTGAGTACCTTGGCGTATATAATCTTGTTTGGCGGGAATAAGGTCCATAAACTTTCGTAAGGGATAGCTTTGAGGCCAGAAATACACTTCTCGTAAGCAGAAATATCATTCTCGAAATGAGATTTGATCCAGTTCATAAGTAGTTCCAGTTGGGCTTTGGAGTCTTGGTCGTTCTTGAACCGATCTAGACCCTCTGATTCTAGCTGCTTTCGGTGGTGGAATAACGAATAGTACGGCGTCTCGATCTGTACATCATCAACGTCTATGGGGTCGTCCGGGTAGTCTCCAATAACATCTTTGAGTAGTTGCCGAAGTGGTTGGGGGTTCACATATAATCGAGTTGTATCAAGCTCGTCGTCGTCGTAATAGTGCTTGACAACACAAAAAGCAAACAAACGCCACCAATCCTTCTGTTCAGGCTTCTCAACTTCCTGTTTCCGTTCGGCAAAGTATTGTTCATCTTTTTCGTTCCAGCGTTGGTCCAGATGCTTGATTTCGCACTTCATAGTCTCATCCACTGCTGCAGTCGTCGAAGACGGGCTCTCCTTCTCAGCCTCGTCGTTAACCTTCTTTTTTAATCCTTTCCTGAAGCCCTTGGCCAGTCGCGACCATATGGGCTTCGTATTTGCTTCAATAACTTTTTCGCAGCTCATTGTTGCCTTGGGTAGTAGGTAGGTAGGTGGGTACCTAATGTATATATGATGTTGCAAGGAGTAAAGTTGAGAGCCGAGAATTAAATAACTACACGCTTCGAACTTTAAGGATTAGACGTGAGGCGCAAGTTTCACCGTTCCAAATGATTCTGGGTATTAAAACTGTAAAAGTGAGGGATGCACTGTATTAATAGAGGATGGTTTACAAGACAAAGGGTACCTAATGAATGTTCGAAAGCGAGGGAAATACGCCGAACTTATGACTGTGCCTTCTAGTCACACCGTGGATACCTGAGGTAGGTAGTGTGAGATGTATGTAGATACCTTGTAAGCAGATATTGAAGGATGATATGTAGGCAGGCTGCAGCCATTGCAGGAAGCCTCTAACTAGGGCTTCTCCGAGGGGCAGTACAATACCTAGGTTAGCTGTAAGTGACTAGAATAAGGCAACCCAGTCAGCCAAGTGAGGCAACCTGACTACCTACCTGCCTACCTACCTACATACATACCTTGCTGCATAGGTAGTAGGCTTTAACATCCAGGGACAGAGCTGCGCCGAGGGATGGATGCACAGATGGATGCAATACATCATAATCAGCTCTGGGAGGTACGATTACTGTATAATATGTGCGCTTAATAGGCAGGTACCTGTAGGTATGTCCGTGCTAAAAATAATAAATAAATAAAATCGCACGAGTTTGCTAGGGTTTAGGAAAGGAAAGCAAACATATAAGATATATAGTTAATGTTAGTTCTAAGTTTCTTTATCGAGACTCTGGAGGATAGAAGCAGGTAAGTAATGCTGTACAATACTACCGTTCCTTCCTGCGTACTGCGCACTAACCTGTAAGTACCTACTAACCCAACATACAATACAATGCGCACTTTGGGGCTAGCGTCGCACGATCCACTCGCTAGCAGTTTCGACACTCCCCTATCAGCCCTATATATTACATTAGCACTTGAACATCGAACCTTATTAGGTACTTACCTAGATACCTTAGGTACCAGGTATGCGAGAGAGACGAATACAACTACATGTATAAAAAGGTCTAGGTTCACTATTCGAACTATAAAGACAACGCAATATACTAGAACCAACTGTAAAAAGGAGCCACGTATGTCCCTGGTAACAAACATTAGTTGCGAATACCACCTAAGAATACAAAGCAACCAATTATACCGGGTTTATATCATTTTGGCCCCCAGCTGTAAGCGGATATACGAGCTATCGAATGGCTAAGTGGACACCAAGTACCCATTGCTAACATCTTTAATACCAGGTAGAAATAAATAAATTATATTCACGATAGCCATGTAAAAGGAATCAGTTAGCGAACAAGGTTTTGGAACGCATGTCTGGATTGAATTTGCATATCTATACTATCGGGTTACGCATTACCTTTACCGCACGCCTACGCTCGCAAAATCGAGCCTTAAATACAAGCAAGCACACGCCTCCAAAAGCAAAAGCTTCCAAACTCTCCGTGGTATTGATCGTCTCTCCGCAAGTCTCTTCTATGCAACCAGCCATTTGCTATGAACCTAGGTAGGGTGCTATTCGTGTCTTCAGTACAGGGACCCGGTAACGCCACACGTGTTACCGCGTCCCCATCATGTAGCCTCAATCGACGGATATACCGCATATCCATGTCAATCATGCAAATGCCTTGTGTCTATATGTTCCAAATCGTGACCGCGTCTCATGCAAACCTTTATGAATCAGATGAACTGCTATCCGCCAACGCCCGCAACCTTGAGGGGTATAGGGGAATCGACAAGCAGCTCCTAGACCCTAACGCTAACAAACATGAGGTCATCTTTATGTCGGAGGGAGAAATTAGGGGGGTAGGGGGGTAAAATATTGTAATTAACCATGCCTGTTTATTTGGCATGTTTTCGGAATGCAAGTAATTCGGAGAGGCTCCCGAGCGGGCAACCGTGCTTCAGGAAATCGTGTTGCAGGAGTTCATCCGCCGAAGCACGACTCTTAACGTCCACGCACAAGCAGACAGACAGGAAAGCTTTCAGCTCCTTGCTGAGTTTCTCTGGCTTCTTTAGGCGTGGTGTACCATTGGTTGCAATAAGATAGAGAGCCTTGAGAGGCTCTTCGTTGAGATATGGCGGCTCAGACTCGATCATCTCGATTGCCATAATACCTAGTGACCAGATATCGACCTTCGGGCCGTACTCCTTTTGCTTGACGACTTCGGGAGCCATCCAGTAAGGAGTTCCGACCATGGTTGCTCGTTTGGATTTGGTCTCGGTGAGCTTGGCGCAGAAACCAAAATCAGCTAATATTTTGTTAGTACCTATGTAATAAGAGGTGATCCGCACAACTTACTGATCTTCACGTTTCCGCGAGCATCTAGAAGGACGTTGTCACTCTTGATATCACGATGGATAATGTTTTGAGAGTGCAGATGTTGTAATCCAGAGCAAGTCTTCAAGTCTTGTTAGCGAAGCCAAAATAATGAATTTCTAGCACACTTACCTCGAGGCAAATTGTCGAGATCTGTTCCTCAGTAATGACCGGGTTGTTGTCGATGACATCCGTCAAAGCACCACCCTCCATGTACTCCATGACCACCCACAATTCGGCGTTGTTGTTTCGTAGGAAAGCGTCGAGGAAATTGACTATGTTTCGGTGTTTGCTGTCCTTCATAACCATAATTTCGTTGACGATGAGCTCCTTGCGTGGCTGGTGTGCTAAATCCATCTGCTTGATAGCAACCTGAGCTCTGGCTCCTTGAGAACGAAGAACTTCTCGAGCAACCCCAGAGACAGCGCCTTCCTTGACCTTTGCCACATAAACTGAGCCCGAAGCGCCCTGTCCGATCTTCTTCTGCTTGGAGTACGACAGGTTAGGGTCGTCTTTCGAGACTACTTCAACTAGCTTTTGCATAACCTCCTTTTCGGACATAGTAGACATGCGAACATCCGCTTTCCTCTCTGCCGCCGTCGGCTTAGCTGTCAGCGCAGCCTCTGCAGCCTTGACACCGTCATTCTGCTGGGCCTGGCTAGGCTTGGCTGGGACGTTTAGAGGCTTAACAGTAGCAGGCAAGCGTGCTTGTGCCTGGTTCTGAGCCTGGCCATTCGCTCGTTGCTGCTGAGCGCCGTTGGCGTTATTCGGATATCGAGGGGCTGTTGAAGGCTGGTCGTTTCGCGGTGGTATACGTTGTGCTTGGCTGGATTGCGAGGTTGGGATGGAGCTCGAGCTTGTTTGAGAAGTCAATGCAGGCCTGTTAGCAGTCGAAGGTGCCGAGGCGCTAGGTGCTGGAGGAGCAGGGCGCTGAGCTCGAAGACCGTTAACTTGCTGGTTGGCTGCTTTCGGGGCAGGAGGCGCCGCTCGGGTGGGGTTGTAACGGTCTGCTGAACCGGAAGATCCGCCGCCGTATCCGCCAAGCTCTTGCTGGGCCATAGGCACCTTTTTCTGTGGGATAGAAGCATTATAAGCTTCTAGGTCCCGTCGGTTCTGCTCTTCGATCTCGCGTTGCCTTTGGAGCTCGAGTTGCTTCTTGCGCTGCTCTTCGCGCGCCGCATCCGGCGACTGGCCAAAACTACTACCTACATTTTGTGCTGGCTGCTGCTGCTGAGACATGCCCGGGGGGGTTGGTCGTATCGGAATAGTAGTCGGTTGCTGGGATGGTCCATTGCTATAGCTGCGCTGCGCAGGTGGCATCGGCCGCGGGGGCGCGACAGAAGTACCGCCGCCGCCATATCCGAGTTGCTTGTTCTGCTGACTACCGGGAGGAGGCGTCGGGGTAAGACTTGGGAACTGCTGAGGATTCTCTGCTCTCTTAGTGAGATCCGAGTAGAAGTCTAAAACCTCGAAAACGGCTTGAGGATTGCGCTCATAATCTTCTTTAGTAATTGCGGAAGAGTTCAATAACTTCGACCATTCTGGTGGCAATCCTACAAATTGTCCCGTCTGTGGATCGAAACCGACGTGAACCGCATGAGAAAAGTTGGTCGGATTGCTCACTCCACCCATTGTCGGGCACCGGCCATATAAAAGGTCAATCCAGTCGTAGAGATCATCGTCACTTTTAACCCTAATATGCAAGGTTCTGATAGTGCCATCGTCATCGCCAGGACTGTTAGAAGTCCCTTGCGCGTGTCTCTTGATCTCGAAAATGGTACCGGCAGCCTCGACTCGGCCAACGTTGACAACGTCCTTCAGATAAAGAGTATAAGAAACCTTGCCACCCTCGGTCTTATGAAAGTCGAGAGCTTCCTTGCGCAAGATAAGATACTTTTGCTTCCATGGCTGGATAAAGTTCCTACTCTCTTTAACCTGCGCCCAACCCTCCTTTATAACCGCGACGCCTCCCATGCCATCTGCCTGGTTGGATCGCTCACGAGCCAATGGTAAAGAGATGGTAGACCCGGTATATGTAGAAGTCGCGGTGCGCGTAATAGGTGACGAAACTACGTTCGTCATACTTCCTGGATAATTAGTGCTGGGAGTGAGGTTGAGACGTGGTTGTTGACTGGTCGGTGGTCGTGGAGCGGGGCCGGGATTCATAAACTGCTGGTTGTAAAGTCCCCTGTAGTTCTCCATAATCAGCTGATGCGTTCTTTTGAATATGACCACGTTATGCTACGTTGAAAATCAACCCTTATGAAGGGAAACCCATTTCCTATCACGAAGAGCGGGATCAGACTAGGACCGGTTCACGAGTCTGAAACCTCCCTTTTTGACAATGAAGTAAGATGCGCCCATAAAACAGAGGTAGTCGGCTTGATCGCATGTGGAGTGATTGGAGGACACGTACCCGTTCGGCGCTGCCATTGTGGGCAAAACCTAGAGAATTCAATTACGATTGTGGTCTTCTACGATGTAGAAAAACCAACGCCTTCGCCTTCGCCTTCAGGGTTTATGAGCGGAGAGCCTAGTTCAGGCGGCTTTGTCCGATCCAAAGCTAGAGCGCCACGTCCGTTAGTCCTAAGTTCAATCCTGGAATAGATCCAACTCACACCGAGAGAAATCGCCAGATATGTAGAGAAAAGAGAGTAATCAAAAATCAATTTCAGCATAGATTGTACGCCTCGGGTTTCGCCCAGATAAAGAGAACAGCTGAGCAATGAATGAAGCTAAATCACTGTCGAGGGCAGTGACCACCACAGGAAAGGTCTGCAGGAAAAGAAGGTTGTGACTAAGGCCGATCTGTCTACAAAGTGATTGGAAGCGGAATCTCGGTCGGTCGGGAGAAACAAAAAACGAAAGGGGGTCGACTTCACATCCGAAACCCAAGCATTAATGCGGTATCGAATATTCGGTATCCATCAGCTGGCACCTCGTCAGCTCGTGTGTCGACGCTTTTCTTGTTCGTCTACCTAAGGGAAAGGAACTAAACAAATAGCGTAGTAAAACGTATAAGTTAGTCAACCGTATTCGACCGCTCAGATGTCCTAAATATAAGGAATTTTATCTATGTGTGTGGGTGTGAAAAAGTAACAGTTCCTAGTTTTGGCCTGGGGAAGGTGAAAAGTAAGACATGGGATGTCTAGTCAGCAAAGGAGAAAGGGGTTCATGTTGGAGGGGGTCCCTTTCAACTTTAGGTACTTCGTACCGCTATATGAAGGAATGATTGATTGATTGGCGTTGGAAGGGTCTCCCCTAAAACCACAGGGGATTTATAAGTATTCTGTACATCCGCTATATCTTATTTTGTAAGGAGCGGACCGCTCTTATTTCTCTCATTTCGGTAAAGCGGATACCTCCAACATGTACTCAGATACATGGATATAAAAGGTGGTCACTGGTCACGGCCTTAGTGGTTTCAATGATATTGAAGACGCTAATAAACGCTGGTTAAACGAATGACGATCCTCTAAGAATTCCTAGCCTTACCTCACCTTATCATCCCAACTTTTACATACTTATTCCCTACTGTATGTCCCTATGTATTGTACAAATATATAACTAGATATGTTTGCCACATTGGTTCTATTAAAGATCATCGATTTTCCTTCCTAAGGTGTGATGGCCCGAAAGACAAGACTCGAGTAGTTCTGGGGTAATAGTTCTTGGCGGCAAACCGAGGTGCCTCGAGGCTAGAATTAGTCGTGTCGTTGTTTCACTCAGGGTCACTCATGAGTTTATGTATTGTATCCCGTCTCGACAGCATAATACTACCTTTAGAGGCGACCAATAGCCTACCACATCCTGCGGCTCATCGTGCATCCCAAACGTCCTTATCACCTACCGGATTCCGATGAACTATACCAACATGTGAAAGATAAAAGGAGGCATATTCCTACTAACTGCTAGGCGGTTCTCGCTCATTTGAGCTTATTAAACGATTCTCACAGACTCGCTCATCCGAACAATGCGGTGTAATGAATTGCGATCCACTCATACTATACGGAATACATATTAGTCTTATAGTCCGCTTAGACTATAGATATAGATGAGGGAGATATTGGTCAGCTAGGTAAACAAAAAAGACGAAAGACACGACCAAAGCTCGCCGGATCTCATATCTCTTCCCGTCGTAGCCTTGTTGGGCGTCCCGAGTGCTACCGCGGGAGGTGACAGCTAACCCTCTACGAGTCGAGCAGAATAGGCTTAGATCCCCTTCGCCTATGCAGGCATGAGGAGGAGCGCAACTCCAGCGCGCAAGGGTTACCGCAAACAACCAACAAACCGGGAGCGCTCAAATTAGAACGAAGGTTTTTTTTTCCTTCCTTTCCGGGACGATAATATGTAATAATAATTCCTCATCCATTCACTGCCCCCCAAAATAAAACTCCATGAAGCACCTCCTTATGTGTCTTACCCAACCCAGTCTTGTCAACGGGCTGGGTGTACGACGGTTTCACTCACAGCCTAGTCGTGATCTTTCTGCAGAAGCGTGTCGCCAAAGCAGCGAACCTCAGCTGATCCTCGGCGATCGTAACCGCGCTGGGGGGTCCACTGCGGCGAATCAGCAGTTTCGCCTTTCTAGAATCTCACTGCGGTACTGTACTGAGGTATTGAGAAACAGAGACACTACCCTTCTTGCATTGGTTTCGCTAATATGCGGATCTGTCGCAGAAATGCTAGTGCTTGGCATGCCGTCGAACCACCCCCGGCTTTAGCCGCTGCGCGTAATTGGTTACGGTTTGTTACCCGTCAGAGCATCACAAGAATTTCTTATTCCGTAGTAGGGCATCTTAATTGTCACTGAAAATTTCTTGGGACCGTTGGTCTATAGCTCGCATTCCATAATACTTAAAGTTATCGGACAATAAAAGATAACTGTAGATTCCTAAAGCAGCACTATCATAGTGGTTCGTAGAATTATTCCCGGGTAGAAACTTTCTATTGCTTAACCCCTGTTACCGGGCGAGAACCCGCACGTGGCCAAGATCTACAGTTGAAACCACATCCGAGAACGAAAATCAGTAATAAGCCTTTTTAAGATCCATAATCTGTCTATCTAGCCTTGCTTGCGACTGAGGCCTCCTGCATATTTCGCCTCTGCGATGAATGGCGCTTCGAACTATCTAATGTTAGGTACGAACCACATTAACGAACAGCGACCTCGATCTCTTGCCCTTCAAAAATGGGTAGTTCAGCCTCAACGTCTTTCCACTCCTTGCTCCCGTCAACTACGGACTGGATCGCGGCGATGATCTTATCCTCATCTGCACGAACTTGTTTAGTCGAATCTCGATCTCGCAGCGTGATCGTGCTGTCTTGAACAGTCTGGAAATCCACTGTAATGCCAAGTGGCGTGCCGAGCTCATCGTTACGGCTGTATCTCTTTCCGATCGTTGCGGAAGAATCGTCGATACGACTAGAGATTCCAATTTTCCTAAGCCGTTGAGACAGCTTGTAGCAAATCGGTCTGAATTGCTCGTTGGATGATAGTGGAACGATAAGCACCTTTGTGGGAGCTACTGTTGGCGGGAACGAGAGAACCTAAATAGAATTAGTATATTCATTACTTTCTGAGAAGGAGGGTGAACATACGCCACGCGCTTCATCGCCGCCCTCACTGCCTCGAGTCCAGAAGTTGTGCTCCATAAGGGCATATAGTATTCTACCAATACCAAAAGAAGGCTCGATAACGTTGGGGGTATATTCTCTAACGTGCTCAACTCGTGTGCGTCGCTCGATGGTAATAAGATCTTTCGGGATCTCAACCTTTCCGTCACCGACACCGGGAACTTCAACAGTAATGCTTCCCTTTTCGCTCAAGTCTTTTGCTAGTGCTTCTCGCTGGTCCTGTGTAGTCGCTAAAACAGCGGCCTCCACCGTCTTGCCATCTTTCTTGAAATGAGGTCCAAACTTCTTCTTGTTCAGATCGACCTCCCATTCCTCGATAACTAGTGGCTCGGCCCGTTGTTCGCGAACAATAAGGGGAGCACCGGTCCTCTTAGCATGAACACTTAGATCGTAAGCGCTACGGTCCGCACATCCGACGCATTCAACCCATCCGTAAGAAGTGAAAAGTTCTGCATCCCAGCAGTCTGCAGCGTAGTGAGCCATCTCGTTGGCCATATGCTGTCTAAAGCGAATCTTGGACTGATCAACGCCAATCTTCTTGAGGAACAGATGAATTCGGGCCATAAAGTAACCAAGAGTCTCGTTGTCGACGATGCCATCAGCTACCGCCTGACCAATGGATATCTTATCGACATGTGTTTTACCGGCGAGCTGAGTTGTGCGGTTTAGTAGTACTAGTTCAACGTCTTTGACTTCCTGGAAGCGTGGGTGCTTCTTTCCTCCATCAGGATCCACGAAATGCTCAATCTCCGCCATCAGGAACTCTCGTACTCGAAGTAATCCAGCCCGAGGCGAGATTTCGTTTCGGTACGACCGGCCAATAGACGCCGACGCAAATGGTACCTGGCCCTGGTTGAATTCTAGCAGCTTAGAGAAGTTCAGGAATTGTCCTTGCGCGGTTTCTGGTCTTAAGTAACCGGGGAGATTGCTGCTGGGACCAATGGCTGTCTGGAACATCAAGTTGAAGGCAACAGGCGGCGAGGGTTGCACGCCAGAAGAAGGGTTCTTGAGATCATATTTCTTGATCAGCTCGCCAAGTTCCTCGCCATTGTAGTTGTCAATCCTGGCCAATACTTCCTCGTATTCCTGAACAACAGCATCGTCAAGTTTGACAGCCTCTTGCACACCCTTAGCCTTTCGCTTCTTTTTCTTGGGGTCTTCTTCTTTCTCCTCAACCTTCTGGCCGCGAGCCTCCTTATCTCCTTTTAATCGGCTTTCGAGTATTTCCTCAACGAAGTGGTCTGCTCGAATAATCTCGCCGTTCTTCGGATCTTTGCACATCCAGTCGGCGAACTTGTCCACGTGGCCACTTGTCTTTAGAACCTCATGCGGAGTCAATACTGAACAGTCAACTTCCAGCATATCTTCCTCAAGCACGAAATGCTTCCTCCACACATCAATGATGTTTGCCTGGAGACTACAGCCGGGTGGGCCATAATCGTAGAGACCAGCAACACCTCCATAAATCTCAAACGCTGGGGTATAGAACATTCGTCGTCGAAGCATCGAGTCCAGGGCGGGACGGTCCAAGGGTTGCCCCTTGAGAGTAGTAGCAGTCGTCGTCATATTTGCGTCTTTACTATTTGTTTGTGTACCGTGAGGATATGAGGCTAGCTTCGAGGTAGTGAAGCCTCTCAAGTTAGAGTTTGCGACTGAAGGTCTACAAACGTTACCAATTGTAGTACTTAGAGATGGCCTTGTAATAATTCCAAGAGTCCTCGAGGACCACTTAGAAACAAAGCGGAAGGGAATTGCGGGGACCAAGCTCGACGCAGATGTTCCAGTCGCGCAAACTGCCCGTATCATGTAGTTGATAGAAGTAAAAGTAAAATAGGTGACTCCAAATTTTCTAAGCGGGCGCTCTAACGGCAAGGTCCTAATTAAAGTGACTTATAAGCTTGAAATTGAGTCACAATGTGGCCGATAATAATTTTCATTTGTTAGTATTAAACCTACAATTCTACCCCTCCATCGGCCCCTCCATGAAAACCACCCCGGTCAGCCCGGTTAAAGCCTAGCCCAGACGCGCTTTGCAGATAAGGGGACCCACTTGATTTGGGGACCCGCTAAAATTTTTATGTAGATTCTAGGTTAATGAAGTCTTCGTGAACTTTCAAGTTTCAATTCCCATCTAATAAACATTTCGTCTATTAGGTACCTGATATCGACATCTAAGACCACGACAGCTCTGCCCCAACCCCTTCTGAACTGACCTATCTCAGGCTAACAGAACAATGGGCCCACAACGATCGTCTACCTCGTTGTCTAAGAAGACAGGAAATAAACTCCATCGCCAATCGCTATATGTCAAGCAGAAGAGGGATCGTGAGAAGGAAAAGCGCGAGGCTCGATTTCGAAGGAAGAAAGAAGAGGATAGAGAGCCTGAACTAAGGGCTGAGAGAGTTGCGCGTAACCAGCCAGCTACCATTGACCGGAAACGAGTCTGGGACGACGTAGACGACGATGGACTGGGCGCAAGTGTCGACATGGAGCAGCTGCTCAAAAAGCGACGCTTACAACAAGAAGAGGCTGAGGAAAGATTAGCTGCGGGGCTGAATGAAGCGTCTGAATCTGAACAGGGCGACGATAATGACGATAAAGACAGTATGTTAGGTTCAGACGATGAAGAGGAATCCGATGAGGAAGCGGCAGCAAAGGCCCGCGCGAAGCAAGTTATTCGAGATGATAGTCTTGCTCCCTCAACTACTTCAACGAACCTCGATCTTACACCGGAATCTTTGGTGGCTAAATTTCCATCGCTCTTCTCTGACGATGGGCCCCCGGAGCCTAAAGTCCTGGTTACCACCACTCTCAACTCGACCCTACATGACCAAGCGAGACTACTTTGTACCCTGTTTCCGCATAGCACATATATACCGCGGTCGGCGCATAAGTACAGTTATAAGTATAGTGTGAGGGAGATCTGCAAATTCGCGGATAATAGGGGCTTTAGTTCTGTCATGATTCTTAGGGAGGACTTGAAGAAGCCAATTGGCTTGGATATTATCCATCTGCCTTCAGGACCAACATTCCACTTCAGTATCTCAAACTGGGTTGAAGGGAAGAAGCTACCGGGTCATGGTAACCCGACAAACCACTATCCGGAACTACTACTCAATAATTTCAAGACACCATTAGGTGTTCTCACTGCAAGACTCTTCCAGTCGCTTTGGCCCAAGACACCCGAGCTACAAGGTCGTCAAGTAGTTACCTTACATAATCAACGTGATTATATCTTTCTGCGTCGGCATAGGTACGTCTTTCGAGATAAGCGAGCGACAGAGAAAAGCGTGGTTGGCGCAGACGGGAAGGAATTAAAAGGAGTGGAAAATATTCGAACAGGTGAGTCAATGACTGCTTACTGCATCGTTATTAGTAGCTAATTTCTTACCTTTATAGGTCTCCAAGAGCTAGGTCCAAGGGCAACACTTAAGCTTAGGCGCATCGACAAGGGAATTGGCCGGGCTGGGAGCGAAGGAGATGACGCCTTGCAGTGGGAATGGAAGGCTAAGATGGAAAAGCAACGAACTAGATTCAACCTCTAAGCCATTGAAGCTTACTTTATTGTCAAATGTAGGCATAAGCCATGAGAATAATTCAATATACCCGTGTATTAACTCGTATTTGGGCCTTGACAGCATTACATGTAGATATTTCAATGTCAGTCTTAGCAACCTTGAAATGATGTAGGTTAGGTATTAGAGATGCTGATAGAAGGTACGTACTACTTCAAATATCGGTATCCGGCATCTAGCATCTGAGATAAGATTAGGTGTCACGGTACATATGTACATGTACCTGGTATTAGGCAGCGCGGGGAGCCAATTGGCGATCTTATAATTGTGGCTTGTAAAGGTCATACAGCTGACAGGACCCTTATTAACTTACCTCGCCTGCTTTTCCCCATGACATCCGCGTATGACCTATTCTACCATTTCACCTCCAATTTATTATCGCACCTTATTGCGAGGTCATCATTACTACGTATTCAACAGCAATGTAAAGTGTAAATACGATCTTTGAGGTAGCACCTTTACTACCTAAATCTGATCCGTTTCGGCTGTGGTTGTTTGCTTTAGAAGTCTTAGGTGTAATCATAGTGGTATCGCGTATTACAGCGTCACCTACCACGTCTAACCCGCCATGGACCGGCTTCGTACATTATTCCGAAAGAGAGAGGATGAGCAGGAGTACCAACCTCTGAACGATGAATCGCAATCCATCGAGGCACCCCCTGAGCACACCGAGAGCGATGGCATCCCTTTCTCGTGGGTTGAGTATAGCATCTTCGGATTGTTAGGTGTTGCGATGCTATGGGCTTGGTACGCAACATTTCATCTAAAGACCTACTTATACGAAGATGAAATAGCTAATAGATAACTTTCAAAAAGGAACATGTTCCTTGCTGCAGCACCTTACTTTCAGCTTCGCTTTCAGGACGATGATTGGATTCTCGACAACTTCCAATCGGCCATTATATCGGTATCAACACTAGGAAACTTAGGATCGATGGTCGTATTAACCAATATCCAATCTACGGCGTCGTACCCATTCCGAATTAATCTAGCTCTCTACATAAACGTCGTTATATTCGGGTTCTTGACTGCCTCAACTACGACATTCCTCGATACCTCGCCCTCGGCGTACCTTGTATTCGTATTGGTAATGGTAGTACTCACGGCATGGGCGGCAGGACTGATACAGAATGGCGCATTCGCGTTTGCTGCAAGCTTTGGGAGACCCGAATATATGCAAGCGATCATGGCTGGACAAGGCGTAGCAGGCGTGCTCCCTTCGCTTGTTCAAGTCATTTCAGTCCTTGTTGCACCACCAGCAAATACGGCATCCGGGACCAGAGAAGAATCTTCGCCGGGAAATGGAAAAGCAGCATTTATCTACTTCCTTACAGCGGTAATCGTATCTATCGTAGCGCTCGTGGCTTTCATACCGCTAGTTAACCGTCACAACCGTATTATCGAGAATCGGATGATGGAGCACATGGCTACATCGGTGACGAGCATCGAGTCCGCAGAACGTGCAGCACGGAAAGTCGTCAGCATGCCGAAATTGTTCAAAAAGCTCCACTGGCTCGCGGGCGGTGTTTTCATGTGCTTCGCCGTCGCCATGTTCTTCCCGGTTTTCACACCTAAGATTTTATCTGTGACACCGCCAGACGAAGCGAGCCTATTACTACAACCCGCTGCATTCATCCCACTGGGTTTCTTCTTCTGGAATCTTGGCGACCTTGGAGGAAGAGCCAGCTCGCTTTTCCTACCACTCCGAGATCGGCCAGCCTTGCTATTCGTAGTGAGCATTGCGCGGGTGTTATTCCTTCCACTTTATGCTCTATGCAACCTGCACGGTAAAGGGGCTGTTATTAATAGTGATGTATTTTACCTCCTATTAGTGCAGTTCCCGTTCGGTTTCACCACCGGCTGGCTTGGATCAAATTGCATGATGGCGGCCGGCGAGTGGGTTGAGGAAGGAGAGCGGGAGGCTTCTGGAGGGTTTATGGGTTTATCCCTTGTGGCTGGGTTGGCGTTTGGTAGTCTGCTGAGCTTTACTGCCGCTGGGATATGACGGTGGCCAACCCAGAATAATATATGTGACACCTCAAACGACATAGAAACAGGATTATATCAGGCGTTTTATACATGTTTAAGCATGATGTATGGTGCAATAGGTCTTACCTCAGTTATTAGTATCGTTAGCATTATTAATATCATGAATGTTCTTATTTGCTTACCGTGACAGCCATGACAGTCATGTACATACACGCAGAGATGCCTTTTCCGGGTTCGTTATAGGCAGATACCCGAGTGGGTGGATATTAGATCGCCGTGCATGTGCAAACCAACGAATAAACGAGCCGACATACACTACTGTACTATGTAATCCTTCGCGATGATCCATTTGTCATTAGTTTGGTACTGGGTACCTTAACCTTGTTATCCTTGTTATCCTTGCTAACCTTAGACTATTAAACCTTGCTAAACTGTTTATAGGCTATGTTTAATTTAATCTCGATCGTGTCGGTCACACGGACCATACCTTGCCTTGCAACCATTTGTCTGCACTTATCTGCGCCTATCTGCAAGCTACATTACATACAAAGTATAGACCCCATTAGCCAATTATCCATACAAACAAACCTAGTTTTCCTATTCGACCGGCTTTGCGAACCGCCGGCGTCGCCTACTAAATTTATCTTTTTTAGTATCCTTTTAGTTTATGTAAAGGAGGGAAGGGCTATGATCTATCATTCTTTTCTAAGACTGCGCCACTATGGCACTATGGCCACTACCTAATTGCACTATCAGGTCCATGGCTCCAGCTCGGCTGCCCGCAGCCGCAACCTGGGCAACCAAACGGACCTAGTATATTTTTTTTTTTCAAAGTCCCCAAAGTCCCCAGCGTTCCCCAGCGGCAGTTGAGCTCAAACGTCATAAAATGGAGTCTAGTTCCAGATCCAGTTCTCCATTCCCCTTTCCGAGTTTGTCTAGATAACGTTCGACTTTTAAAGGGATGGTCTTTGGGTCGGTTTCTTCTTCCTCTTCTTTTTACTACTCGGAAGGCCTAATCATATAAGTTTTTATAATTGTACCTTGCCCGGTTTCTCTGATCTAGTCACTACTAATATCGTGTTTCTTTGTCATCCATGAGTCCTTCGTTTAACTCTATCTAACCATCAACTACTCACGCAGTTACCTAATAAGGGAGAGTCAGGTGCTATCAGCTGGGGGTTGTTCTCGTCTCAACTCGAGAGTTTAATATTTAAGTTTCCGCTCCTCTCGAACAAAGAGAGTCTGTTTGGCCATTGTTACCTACAACCTCTCGCTACTACAAATTTACTAGATGCGCTTCTTCTTCTTCTCATACTCGATCTTTCCAAACTACTCCCGACGTTCTGTACCCTTTTAAG